CTCACTTAATACAAGTGTTTTGAGTCTAACAAGCTCAAGTTTCATTGAAGATTAGTATCACCTTTTGTGACACTCTAATCCTCTTTACGTCGTGTAAGAGGTTGGGAAGGAGATTAAATTGGTATTTTTAGATCGCTTCTTTTTGCTTGTATCTTATACGGGAAAAAACGCCCTAAAACAACGAGGAAAATGATTGATGGGTATTGCTCCTGCTATAACAATTTAGGTGATATGTTCATGTTTGTGTGTTCACTTTACCCACCTGCCTGTAGGTGCATTACACAAATTAATGCGACTTTAATACTTGATGGTGGTGCAGTGACCTGCGTGCAAACAGAGATGGGATTGAGTTTGACATTATTGAATAGGCTGCAACAACAACGTGTTTATTGTTTATTGTGCTCGCCAGCATCAAAAGGTGGACCACAAAGGCTTCCCCGAAGGCTATTGTGCTAGCTGTGGTATGCACCGTTGGTTAACACAAAGGCATACTGTATTGATTTCCAAAGCATGTACGTACACGAATTGCGGTTTATCCAAGTAGGATACATGTATAAATGGTACTTTGACCTTGTTGAAACAAACTAGAACGAGAAAGTCGTTTAAAAGGTAAATGAGTACTCGCTATCTGTTAAAGAAAACTTACCTCTAATTATCACCTAACATTTTTGTGGTTGGAGACAATTAATTCAAATAGTCTGTTCTGTACAAATTACGATAGTAGAGTCACATGTCAATTAAAGTCCGAGCTCTGTACATCAGAAACGGTTGACATTTGTGAATGGGTTTCGCGCACAAAATCCAATTTGGTACGTGATTCGAGCAGTATGCGCGGACTGAGCATGGCAACACGGGATTATATAAACATAGCCGGTATAAATAGAGGGTTCCACTTGACGGATCGCCTCGTTTGCCGCCGGCAATCCCGTTCAATTGATAGTGTTGATAGAGTCCGCACTGAAATAATCGCGGACATTTCTGCTTCTATTATACGCAGGACTGACATTTGCTACCATCGCTTTATTTATACCTACTTTATAAGCACATATTCATGCATACTAGAATAAATTACAAAGCCAAATATTTGTTTTAGAAACCTACTTTGTCCATATTCAATTCCGCTAAAATGTGATTTTAGAGCAATAAGCTTTAAAAGCTCCCACTAGGTGGACCGACGATCTGGTGAAGGTCGCGGGAGGTGCCTGAATGCGAGCGGCGCAGGACCGGTCTTTGTGGAAATCTTTGCCCTTGGGGAAGGCCTTTGTTCAGCAGTGGACGTCTTTCGGCTGAAACGAACGAAGCTTTAAAAGCTATCTTCTATAGAACTCCAGGTCCAATCAAACATTAATCTGTATCTGATAGATCCAATATTAGGTTCTACATCCTCTCAACTATTCGCCGATCGTAAATTGCTCTGTGTACATTCCATTAATTGCTTTTGCTGTTAATAAACTTTGAAGCGATTGCCCCGAACCAATTACAATGGTGTGTCGAATTTGGATTTGCCCCGCGGTGTGCTGTTGGTCTGCCTCTAATTGCTTCCTGTTAACTTCTACAGCTATTATACATAATTGCGGTCGGCTATGAATAACTAGCCTATATTTAGATTTTATTTTGAGTGAGTTTTCTTGTCAATTATCTAGCAACAAGATGGGATGAAGTACCTATCTCGTAATTGTAGAAACTTTGAATTAGTTGAGTAACATTTTCTGATGGCCTCGAATAAAGGTTAGATTGAACTGTTACTATAATCTTCAAATCGCGATATATCATTGAAAACAGAACTGCCAAAAAACGTAATTGTGATGAGAGATTAAATTTTTCTATAATTAATTTCAATAGACCTTTAGCATCAAGATTCAAGACAGATTTTCGAAATCTGTTTAAGCGTACTAAAGATACAGTGCGAAATAAATATCCCATCTAATTCTAGCTTTTAGCACGCTTTATGGGGGTGATGTTGATCTTAGCGTTATGATAAAGGGTAAAAGGCAGTTACCGTGGGCACGTCATGGGGCGACGCGAAAAGTTCCCGTAATGACCGCCATACCCCGGAATTTATTCTAGTCTTAAAACACTTTATAACGGATGGGAAAGTTGTTTAGAACTGCTATTAAACTGTCTAGAACCGCCGTGCTGTTAAATCATTTAAAAATATTGCATGGTTCTAACATAGTGATTGAAGATGTTTGTAAAGATAAACGCAATAGATTTTTAGTGGGTAGACCTTACCCTTCTGGTAGGGAAAGCCCCACATAACCCACTAGCTACCCCCACGGCTGGTGATGGTAAAAAGGTAGGTGGTATCTAAAGTAATGGACTAGTTTATACTGATTGTAGATGCCTAATACAAAAATAATTTGAACTCTACATCCACGCCTTTGTTCGTTGGTGTGTTGTATTCATGTAATTATTCAAATTGAACTACCATTAACCCAAGGCCAAAGAAAAGAATTCCTTGCAAGAAAACTAAAACTTATGGCGTCGTTTACATTGTTTATATCACACTGGTAATGCATATGAATTACGCCGCCATATCGCGTGGTAGTATGCATAATATGCAGCTCTTGCAGCACCCGTGGCCCACTTGCGAGGCGCATTGCGTAGGTCAAGCGAGTGACAACACACTTTCTCCATAACATTTCACTTTCACTCGGTGATCCAAATTCTCTAACGTTTTTGTTAACTAAGTAAAGATAAATATGTTTACAAATCTACAATGCTGATGTCATAATCTATGACTGCTTTAATGATAAAGAAGCGATGTGATATCGATACGTTGTTTCTATGCACTTAGTAAACAGAGATGATGCTGACAATCTTATATGTATAACAGTCAAAACTAATAAAATACCTATAACTGATCAAAATCACTTTTGACTGCAAAAATCAGGCCAAAGTGGTTTTGACTTGCGCTCTTTAGTCAAAAACTTATTTTGCAAAGCTATGAAAAATATTTGTGTAGGAGGTAACCTCTAGAACCACAAATCTAATTCTGGATAACATTTTGGCGAAGTTAAATTCAGTCCTTTCCAATTTGATTTAGCATCAAGTCTAGTTTTTCACAGTAAAAGCTTTCATTACATTTCAAAGGAAATCTGTCATGTTCCCACAAATAAATAGTTGTTTTTTCAGTTTCGTTAACAAGTCGTCTATTCAGTGAAGCTGTGTTGACTATAAATATTTTGGAGCTGTATTTTATTTTATGGAAACCTTATTTAGTGGCATATTGTTGGATTTCTTCCAGCGAATCAGAATTGGATTTAGTATCAAAAATGAAACAAGCATTTATGTTTGACCCAATTTGTAGAGCGTTTAATGTTATTTAAGCATCGTTTAGAATGATTAAACATTTAACATAATTATTAGTAATCATGCTACTACATGTTTATAAATATTGAACTTGCTCTTTAATAATATGCCAGTTATGTAATATTACGTAATTTTCTATACATATACGGTCGCCTTTTACCGCCATAACAGAAACCGGCGCCTCGGGCCTAAAGTCAATAACAAAGCGAATCGTATGAGTCACCGCTTTCCCTCTTTCTCGTGCAATACGAATGTAAAGTTTTAATTAACGTTTTAAAACTTTCTATTCATATAAAAGTTCCTGAGCGTACTGTTTGTTTTAAATTCGCAACTTAATTGATGTAATTTCAAACTTTTGTCAATTGTTAGTTTGTTCAACCGAAGGGTTCAGTTTACAAACAACGGTCTCTGTTTTGGTATGAGGCTACTTTCAATCTAGTCCTCTATAGACGTTGATTGGCTCATCAAAGTTGACTCGGGGCTCAATATGAAACCTCTGTCGGCCGGCGGCGCCCGTATAAACAGGTTGTTTGTCAATTTTCCGATGACGCAGCGCGCTGTCAAAGCAGTGTTCGGCTGTGCACATAAACAGTTCGGGGAGACCGACGCCGGCACCCACCCCCATCCACCCCCAGACCCCCAACACAACCCCCCGACTGCCCCATTTTTCACTAGTACTTAGTGTGTCGTGAGTTACCCCTCACCCCGTGTTTCATTCGCGTGTTTTTTCTGTAAATTTATGTTACGACAACACGCGGTCAGCTGAGCCAATATTTTTATACGAAAGTTAAACGATTCACGGAAACATTTCAGCTTTGAGGCTGTATTGTTTATTTGTCGAATCAAAAGAAATGCTTTGTCTAAAACGTTGAGTTTTCCCCAGTGAAATTTTATATCTTTCCGCTTGGTGTGTCGTCGTTAATTAAATGGTAGATCGTTTTTGTTGTCGAGTCTGTAGAGTCCTCGTTGTTTTATTGAATCTCCCGTTACGCCTCTTGGCAGAATGATTCATTAAGTTTCATTACTGTAGGAACATTTTCGTTTGAAGTTCTCGATTGCGTCGACGCGTTTAAGAAAGAGTGATTTGCTGTTAATGAAAATGAAGCTGGATAGTGGGGCGTCATTATCGGATATCAATCAGCGTTAGTGCATTAGGGTGAGCGGCCTCGCTGGGTCGGCCAGTCAGCACGGCGGGAGGCGCTGCTGAGTCGCCGCGTGACTCAGCGCGCCGTGACGCATGACTCGGCGGTTTCGGGATCGTCCGCCGTCAGCTGAAATAAGTGGATTGCTGCATCACGAATGAACGATTCCATTTTAAAGAACAGTCTATGATGTGATTACCCCAGACGCTTACGCCCGTTCGATTAAATTTCTCTCTTTGTAGCAGCTTATTTTCTTCGAGCGGTTTCATGTCTCTGTCGCGTATAATTACGAAAAAAGACGTTGGCGTTTAGACTGTGACCCGAATTACATTTTAATGAGAATATCAAATGCTCCCCCGGCTTACGAATAATTTATGGCACGTTCTTGTCTCTAAATATAATGAGTCAATTTCCCGGAATCTAAGAAGCCTAACGGATATTTGATACTTTTGTTGCCAAGTTAAATTTTGGAGGATTTATTGATGAGGACTAGTGACTTAGATGTAATTGGATTTTCTTGAGTAACATTTTCGTCTTTTTTCACAGAGGATCGATCGTGAGAACACCAAGAGTCCAGCAAGCACCGGGGGCAGGAAGAAGGCAGCTGCAGTGAAGAGCAACGGCCAGATCGCCACCACAGAGCCGCCACCGCAGCCGCCAGGTAAAAACTATTTCATTTATTGAATCAGAATGAGTTTCTTTGTTTGCTTGAAAGCGTTATTCTCAGGAACTACTAGTCCGATTTGAAAAGTTCTTTCAGTGTTAGATAGCCTATTTAACGAGGAAGGCTACATATCAATACTAGCCTGAAGTAACTATTCCACGCGGAAGAAGTCGCGGGCAGAAGCCGGGTATTACTATAAATTTATAGTCATAAAATAACTACATTTAGGACACATTTAGACACAACACTCTATAAAAGATAAAAGCTCCAAGTTCGAGACAATGTAGTCAAAGTAATTGAAATCCTCAAAAGGCTTCACGTCGTTGCGTTTACGTCACCGTTTCAAAGGTGGTCCGGAATTAGAAACACAACGTTGCGAAAGCCCCCAAGGGAGCTATCCCGGTTCCGGGCTAATAGGATGGGATTCGGAACACTGAGGTGTACAGCCGGCAGCCGTCTGCCTACGAACGTAATAACGTTCGGTACTCCTTTTGAGTATATCCTTTTCATGTCTCTGGATTACTGTGAATGGTGGCTAAGTGGATTAAAAAGACGGTTATTTGGTTATTTAATTAAGATTGCTTTATATTTCTAGTAAGGATTAGCGTGACAAACATAATGGAATGTAAATAAATGTGGTCTGTTCGAAATCAGAGAACACTTTATTAATTTATTAGGTACTCAATCAAACTTCAGGAAATAAATAAATGAAGTCATGTACAAGTAAAAAAAGTTAAATCGAGTGTACTGCGAACCGGGCGTATAAAGTAATTAATTTTCAATTTTAATGGAAACAATACAATAATATTCCAAACGACTCTACTTTCCGTTCAGAAAAAACGAGTGGCCCGGCATTCCGTATCGGGCATGTAGTGGACACTTTACGGCGACATGTACATGCATAATTATGTAAACACGCGCCGTAAGTAAGCCTCGTGCATGCTTCCAGCATTTTTTACAATCTGCGCAATGTGCATAATGGCAGCGTGGCATACTGAAGTAACTGAAAGCTGGCGCGCCGCCAACCCCGCGATAAACGGGTTAATACTGTTCCTTGCTTGAATCTTTCCTTTATAGCCTGTGGTGTATCTTTATTACTCCGTAGATATTAACTGCAGACAGTTTTTATTTCATTGCACATGTTACATAACATTGCAGCTTTCATGTTGCGAAAGTTTATTTTTACTCAATTGAACGATCAAAGATAAGTATGTAGATGCTTCATACTCCAAGAAACACCTAAAATAGAGCAAATATTTTAAAGAAATCATGAACTAACAGTAAACTCACGTAAAAGTTTCAGCTGCGAACATTCCGTTTGAAGCTTTTCATAAAATGCAAAAGTATTTTTACTGTAATACGAGTATCTCTTGAAACAATGAGTTACGTATTTACTTTCTTCTTGGTAAGTAAAATACCAAATAAAGGTACTCGTATAATGACGAGTACCTTTGTCTTTCAATGAAAAATAAAATTCCAGCGTCTTGTGCTCTGCGCGTTTAATTTACAAAAGAAGAACTGTTTTAGTGCACAAAAGAAGATTTAATCATTGTTACAGTAATATTTTACTCCGCTTTTATGAAACGACTGTTAATTCTGTCGTATAATTAATTATAAGAGGTCTAGAATAGATTTGAACCGTATCATAAAACTGGAGCTCCGCCGAACTATAATTAAGCTCTAGTACATTATTTAGTAAAGTAACATATCTATAAGCTGTACTAATACTTATTGGAATTTCAATATTCAGTGTTAATATTTGAGTGCCTTCTGAGAATACAGACCCATTTACGTAAGCCCAACTATTAAAATCATATTTCACGTTAATATCATTCTATCCTATTCCATAATTGTTTACATTAACTATGTACAATAACCGTTTATGCTTTATTCTATGAAATAGAGATCTTATAAATGTCTGGTTGAATTATTAATACTTACCTTTTGAGATTATGGCTTCCTTGCCTCATTTGAGTAGGACGAAGCCAATTAGTTGTTCAATAGAATTTCTTGATAAAATTTCAAGTTAGTGTATTAGACATCGATTTTTTTGTTACAAAGATGAACGCATTTTTCCATTAACTTTCCGGGCCAAGAAATCAGTTTTTATGGGAAAAATATCTACAAGATTTGACTAGTATGTATTAATTCAACTAAAGGCTTACGTAATATGCAAATACAACTAGGTACTTATACGGTTTACATACAATTTGCGTAAGTATAAAGTTATCTTTGCGTGTATAATGTCTGCGGAAAATACCTTAAAGGCTTCCCAGGTTGTTAAAGCGTCCGGTCAAAGCGGGCTGGGTTCCAATTCCGCTGGAGCGCACTCGAGCACTTGGGTAATCCTAGGCCAGGCTCAGCATAATTTGGGGTTCAAAGTCATGCGCATTAGCTTCATAAACCACAGTTTAAAGGAAACCGCCGGGTTCCCATGTGTCGTCGCCATTAAACTCGCCTAATTGCAGATTAAGGGATTTTATAATTAGACCAAACCAGTGACCGGAACGAATTCCAGAATTTAATGTGGTATAGATTTTATTTCAACATTAATGTTTAGATTACGACGGAGAATTCATTTTAGTCCGAAGTCACAGAACAGTATCTCTTTGTATTCTTGTTCATATGATATTCATGTCCTGTGCAAATCTGTCTTTCATAAACGGATCACGTTTTATAAAACTTGCCCAGATGTTTTCATTCAGAAGTTCATTAAACACGAAACACATTGTTCTTTGTCCGGCACATAACTCGATGTTGTCCTTTGAAATAATATGTCTGCGATAAAAGCTGATAAAACGTGCTTTCATTTCGCGCGACGGCTGCATCTCACAGCATTGTGACGTCACTGGGGAGACAGGGAGGGGGAGGGGAGGACATACGTGTCGTATAAATCACAGGACGTGAACGCTTTTCGTAATATACAGCCACTATCAACCGAAACTGTATGTGGGACTACGATTGTCTGACTTTGCTCGCGTAATTCAAACTTTTTATCATACGAGTATTCACAATTTTTGTAATTGAAGCGTATTTTACTTCAATAAGTAATGTAAAGTAACACTTATAAAAGGTACTAAGTAGTTAACAAACTGACTAAAGTTAGGTTCTTGAAATTCAAATTGTATAACGGTACCGCTTCCATAGAATTTATAATCTGTTTCAAGTTCTCCAAAATTTCGTTGCTCTCTCAAAGAATTACATATTTAAGCGTTCAGATTTTTCGTGAATGAAGCAACTGTTGATTATTCCCTGAATAATTCAAAATATATTAAATTTTGTTGCCCCGAGGCCAATGTATTTGCATAATAAAGAGCTGGAATTTCGCATCTCATATTGTAAGCGGCGAGCGAGTCGTCGGTTCGCATAATTTTCTCAAACGAGTCCGTGCGGTTTGTCCTTTCTAAAAACCCATCTGCCTTAATTTATTTCTGTTTTTTACGATAAAGCCATGGGGAAAGGTACCGCAATTAACGTGCAGCTTACTTAATGCCAACGGTTTATTTATTGCTCCAGTAGATGTAACTTTTTTCACATGTTAATTCTTGTTCACTCTTAATTTACGGAAGAAAGTTACAATAAAAACAGTTTTGCAATAATTGTAATTTTTTATTTGTAAATATTTAGTCTATGTAGGTTAATTATTTGTATTATTCTTAGTTTTGCAATATCAAAATATTGTTCAACTTTTCTCAGAGTTTTCAGAATAGAACGATAATACAATAACTACATAAACACAATAAATTATGATGTATCTTTTGTCGATCCGGTACTTTGCGTTCAGAAGAAAACTGTTTTCCCGATAAACGCGGAGAGAAATATAAAACGTTTTGACACATTTTCTGCTGAATAAACTTTTCCAAACTATCCTAACAGGATTATTCGGGAAAAGAATACGCCGGTTACTAGATGGCACTAAAACCATGCGTTCAAACTCCAAATGTGACACTAGTAAAATTGCAAATACGGAAAGATACGATGGCAATTCGCTCCGAGTATCACCCAGCGGGAATATTATTATACTATGCATGTATTCAAAGAGCAGATAACTTTATATTGGCTCGAGTTGCGAACAGGCGTGGGCCCGAACAAATATTGCTCGGATCGGCGGAACTTTGTTGGTATTGTTGTTCACCGCTGGAAGTTGGGTCACTTTCGTTCCGCGGCCGCCTCGTCTGGGCGGGAGCAACTTTTGAACGAGAAACTAGTTAAGTTTCCAAGGTTGGTAACTTGCTTCGGCGACGACCGTAAACAATACGATTTTACATAATTGCCAACGTTTTGTACCGTTTCGCTTTTGTGCGAATACTTATACGGTAGTCACGTTTCGAAACCGTGCGATCAAAAAGTTTAAAGGTCGCCTGCAGTGTAATTATTACTGCTCCGTACTGCGCCCGTTTATACAACAAATATTCATTAAGTTGGAGTTCCTTTATAGCTTTTGTAAGGTTAGCGGCGGGCGCTCGTAGCTACGTGGGTATCAAACAATGCAGCTCTACCACGCCTCTTTTACTAACTAAACATACATTTTCTAATTACGTATTAAATGCGACTAAATGCTTCATACATCACGAATACAGAAATAACTGTATGATTATTCATAAATAAATTGTTGGTGAATAATATTATTCAGTTTAATTTTAATCAGAAGCATTAATTAACGATGAAGAGTCCAATTCACGTTTGTTTTCCAGATTTGTTATAATTAATTTGGATTCAAATGGCGTCTAAATCGTGTGTAGAAATCGCGCATTGTTTAGCCAGCGAATGGCTGCACAAAGGCGTCACGGCCCGCCGCCCGAGGCGTCCGCTAAATCCTAACAGTAACTCCATTATGCGGAATGAGCTGAAATGATGCATACACCTGCCAGCGTTCAGCTAACAAAGCGTCACGTGCACAACAATACAGGTAGGGTTGTCGTCGTGTTTTGTTAAAACCAGAGATTAGATAGGTATTAAAATTAGTTATTAAATGCTGGCCNGGTCGTTCGGCCATG